CACAAACCCAGCCCTACAGAAAGTACCTGAAGGAAAACCCCAACCCAAGGAAGCCAACTGCACCCACAAAACACAGGCAACTGATAACCTCCCCCACCAACATAACCCAAAGGGAAACACACAAACACTCCTACCAAAAAATAACTGGAAGTAACAACCACTGGTCATTAATATTGTTTAATATCAATTGACTCAATTCACTTATAAAAATACACAGACTAAGAGAATGGATACAAAAACAGAATCCAGCTTTCTGCTGTATATAAGAAACACATCTCAACTTCAAAGACAAACACTACCTCAAAGTAAAGGGTTGGGAATAGGTTTTTCAATCAAATGGACCTAAGAAACAAGCGGGAGTAGCTATCCTAATATCTAACAAAATTGATTTTAAACTAAAATCAATCAGAAGAGATGGAGAAGGCAGTTTATACTCAGAACAATCCATCAAGATGTAGTCTCAATCCAGAACATCTATGCCTCTATTACAAGAGTACCCACATATGTACAAGAAACATTATTAGAACTTAAATCACTTATCAAACCCCACACAATGATAGTCGGAGACTTCAACACTCCACTCTCGACAACGGACAGGTCAACCAGATAGAAACTTAACAGAGAAATAAGAGAAGTAACAGATGTTATGAATCAAATGGACTTAACAGACATCTATAGAACATTCCACCCAAACACAAAAGAATACCTTCTTCTCAGCACCTCATGGAACCTTCTCAAAAATTGATCACATCCTCAGAAACAATGCAAACATCCACAGATACAAAACAAAATTGGAGTAACCCCGTGTCTTATCAGATCACCATGGATTAAAGTTAGAATTTAACAACAATACTAATCTCAGAAAGCCTACAAACCCATGGAAATTGAACAGTGAAGTACTGAACCAACCCTGGGTCAAGGAAGAAAGAAAAGAAATTAAAGACTTCCTTGAATTCAAAAAATGAAGGCATAACGTATCCAAACCTATGGGACACTATGAAAGCAGTGCTAAGAGGAAAGTTCATAGCACTAAGTGCCCACATAAAGAAGAGAGAAAGACCACATTAGTGACTTAACAGCACACCTGAAAGCTCTGTATCTCTTCAATAGACTTCTTGAAGTTTTGGCAATAGCAATAAGACAACAAAAGGAGATCAAGGGGATTCAAATTGGAAATGAAGAAGTCAAACTTTCATTATTTGCAGATGATATGATAGTATATATAAGTGACCCCAAAAACTCTACCAGAGAACTCTTACAGCTGATAAATACCTTCAGTGATTTGGGAGGTTACAGGATCAACTAAAAAAAAAAATCAGTAGCTCTCTGTAGCCCTCCTATCCACAAATGATAAAGAAGTCAAGAGGAAAATCAGAGCAGCATCACCTTCACAACAACCACAAATAACAGAAAATATCTTGGGGTATCACTAACTAAAGAAGTGAAAGACCTATTTGACAAGAACTTTAGTCTGTGAAGAAAGAAACTGAAGATACCAGAAAATGGAAGGATCTCCCACGCTCTTGGATAGGTAGGATCAATATAGTAAAAATGGCAATCCTAACAAAAGTGATCTATAGATTCAATACAATCCCCATCAAAATCCAAACAAAATTCTTCACAGATCTTGAAAGAATAATCAAATTCATATGAGAAAAAAAAACAGGATAGCCAAAACAATCCTGTGCAATAAAGAAACTTCCGGAGGCATCTCTGACATCAAGCTCTATTACAGAGCTGCAGTAATGAAAACAGCTTGGTACTGGATAAAAACAGAGGGTGATCAATGGAATTGAATCAAAGACCTGGATATTAATTATGATCACCTGTTTTTTGATAAAGAAACTAAAATTATACAATGGAAAAAAGAAAGTATCTTCAACAAATGATGAAGGCATAACTGGATGTCAACCTGTAGAAGAATGCAAACAGATCCATATCTATCCCCATGCACAAAACTCAAGGCCAAATGGAATAAAGACCTCAACATAAATCTGACCACATTAAACCTGACAGAAGAGAAAGTGGGAAGTAGTCTTCAATACATGGGCACAGGAGACCACTTCCTAAATATAACACCAGTAGCACAGATACTGAGAGCAACAATAAATTAATGGGACCTCCTAAAACTGAGAAGCTTCTGTAAAGCAAAAGACAAAAAGGCAACCTACTGAAGGGGAAAAGATATTCCCCACCCCACATCAAAGGACTGATCTCCAAAATATATAAATTACTCAAGAAATTAGGCATTAAAATTCTAAATAACCCAATTAAAAATGGGGTAGAGAATTAAACAGAGAATTCTCAACAGAAGAATCTCAAATGGCCAAAACATACTTAAGAAAATGTTTTGAAACAACTCTGAGATACCATCTTACACCTGTCAGAATGGCTAAGATCAAAAACACCAATGATAACCTATGCCGGAGAGGATGTGGAGTAAGGGGAACACTCATCCATTGCTGGTGGAAATGCAAACTTGTACAACCACTTTGGAAATCAGTATGGCAGTTTCTCAGAAAATTGGGAATCAACCTACCTCAGGACCCAGCAATACCACTCTTGGGCATATTCTCAAAAGATGCTCAATCATACTAGAAAGACACATGTTTAACTATGTTCACAGCAGTATTATTTGTAATAGCCAGGACCTGGAAACAACCTAGATGCTCCTCAACTGATGAATGGATAAAGAAAATGTGGCACATTTAAAATTTAAACTACTCAGCGGTAAAAAAAAAAAAAAAAAAAAAAGACATCTTGAGTTTTGCAGGCAGATGGATGGAATTAGAAAACACTATCCTGAGACAACCCAGACCCCAAAAGATGAATATGGTATGCACTCACTCACAGTGGATACTAGCTATAAACAAAGGATATTGAGCTTAGTTTACGATTCTAGAGAAGCTAATAAGGTGAACCCACAGAAAAACATATAAAGATCCACCTGAAAACTGGAGACAGACAAGACCACCTGACAAAATTGGGAGCATGTGGGTGGTGGGAGAAGGAAGGGTAGAAAGGGAAGAGAAGAGGAGAAGGGGAGGGATGAGAACTTGAGGGAATGGGATAGTCGAGATGGAGGAAGAATAGAGAGAAAAGAAAGTGTTATCTTGATTGAGGGAGTCATTATGGGGTTAGCAGAAACCTGGTCTAGAGAAATTCCCAGGAATCCACAAGGATGACCAGCTAAGACCCTAAGCAACAGAGGAGAGGGGACCCGATCTTGACTTGCCCTGTAGTCAGACTGATGAATATCTTAAATACCACCATAGAACCTTCATCCAGCAACTGATGGAACTAGAGGCAGAGACCTGCATTGGAGCACTGGACTGAGCTCCCAAAGTCCAGTTGAAGAATGGGAGGAATGAGAATATAAGCAAAGATGTCAAGACCATGATGGGTTCACACACTGAAACAGTCTAATGGGAGTTTACCAATTCCAGTCACACTAGGAAGGAACAAGCATAGGACCAAGCTAGTCCCTCTGAATGTGGGTGACAGTTGCATAGCTGGGGCAGACTGAGGGGCCACCAGGAGTAGCACCAGGATTTATCCCTACTGCATGTATTGGCTTTTTGGGAACCTATTCTCTTTGGATGGATACCTTGCTCAGCCTAGATATAGTAGGGAGGGACTTGGACCTTCCACAAAGCAATGTGACTTACCCTCTCTGAGGATTGGATGGGGGTGGGGAAGGAGGGTCTGTGAAGGGAAGCGGGGAGGGGAGTGGAACTTGGATTGGTATTTTTAAAAACCTAATAAATTATATAAAAAAGAATTTAGAGTTGATTGGAGTCACACAACCAGCATGGCAAAATAGAAACTATGGTAACCAAGGTGTCAACCTGTGATGGAAGCCAGGCAGCTCAAGGGTAAAGGTGATGGAGTTTAAATGCAGCCTGGAGTGGATCCCTGAGCAGAAGTAACACTTAGAAGCTTTATAGTTGGTTCAGTGCTTAGAAGTGCTTCCCACTCTCCAGAGGAATTTTGAGTGACTCACAACTGCCTTTAACTCTAGCTCCACAAAATCCAGGGCACCACTAGTCCCTCCCCCCCCCCATAAAAAATACACCTTAACACAAACCAATAAAAAAACACCCTATAAGGTGGGAGTCATGGACACAAGGTCAAGGCCTTAACATCATGGAACTGTCGAATACCCATAAAATCCTGTGGCTTCAAAGAGCTATTAGTTGCTATCCTTGTGGAGTTTGGAACACCACCTAATGGTGCTGTTCTGTTGCCTAGAGACAGAGTTTCAACTGTGTATCCCTCAATTGCCTGGAAATTGATATGTAGACCAGACTAGCTTCAACTCACAGATATCCTCCTGCCTCTGCCTCCTGTGTTGGGATTATAGATGCGTAGCACCAAGACTGGTCTCAGACAGTGTACTTACTGAACCAGAGGAAAAGGCGGTCATCTCTGTGAACCTCTCTCTATTGGCTCTTACACATACTCTTGAGATTTTAATGGTCAAGACAACACCTATTACTCAGTAATTTAACAACCACAATTCAACCATTTTACACATCTAGCAGGTATGCAAGATCCTAAAGTACTCTGTAAAACAACCTGTGTACAGTTAAAAGCCTAATTAAACCTTTTAGATTCTGAAGAAAACTGAAGTACAATGTAACTTGCCTCTCAGAAGCCAGCTGTCCTCAGAAATCACTAAGCTCTCTAAACCAGTGGTCCTCAACCCGTGCATGGGCCAAGACCCCTTGAGGGGGTCAAACATCAGATATCCTGAATCTCAGATAATTACATTGCGATTCGTAACCGCAGCAAAATTATAGCTATGAAAAATCATTTTATGGTTGGGGGTCACCACACCGAGAGGAACTGTGTTAGAGGGTTGCAGCATTAGAAAGGTAGATGAACCACTGCATTAAATAAACAATACTTTTAACAGATTTTTACACTGATCAAAATGAAATTATTTCCTCATTTGGCAAATATCACTTTATAATGATAACAAAAACATTACAAAACAAGGCAATATCTTTTCTGTTTATTAATAAAGTAATTATGATTGCTGAAAAAAAAGTTGAAAAATGCACACATATAATGTAGGTTAGGCCATCCAAAATACAGAGCAAAGAGTCATCAGTCATGGTTGGGGTTCACACAAACGAGAAATAAATACAAGGCTAAACTACTTGATAAAGACAAGTAAGATAAACTATATTAAGTATCACCTTAACTAGTAGCCATCTTTTCTCTAGCATGGGCACAGGCTTGTCTGTATCCTGCACAAATGTAACGAACTAACAGCTTTCTGAGCCCCTTAATACAAATCTGATTCCTGCTTTACGTAACCCAAGAAAATAACAGTGAAGTCATTAGAAAAATATGGACCCTTCTGAATATCTATTGTATTTTAAATTTAAAAATACAGCTTAGATCATATGAAATATGAATTTCAGATTTACATCTTATCTATACGTTTACATATGTTCTTATTAGTTTGACTGAAATGCAAAAATATGTCTTAATATCAGATTAGTTAAAAATACTTATCCATGGCTAGAAGTACTAGTTTGTAGAACGAGATGTAAGCTAGGCGTATTTTTGAGTTACTGCCTTTCCCAAATACACAGGCTCTAACACTAAGCCTTTAATAGAGATTTGATTCAGAGAGAACGGGAGATCTCTTGACTCATCTCAAGCATTCCTGTAAACAGTCAAAATCTGCTTTCTGTAAAGATTAAAATTCAAGTAAATACCATACATTTAAGCTAACCTGTTATGCTCATAACACATTGAATCATAACCACTATGTAAAAAGTTTTTAAAAAATCATTCTTATGTGACGAGAAAACAACTCTGTAAACATGTTCATTTCAATAGCTGGTATACTGCAGCTGCTTTGGTTGGCACAGTGACAACGATCATGTGCCGCAGGTACTGAACGTCAGGTACCTCTGCACCTGGATAAACCAAGCCTCCTATCTAATGTTTTTAATGGCAAGGGCAAGACCTGAAATTCAACTTCATTTTCTTTACAAATGTTCAAGTGTTTAAAATTTTGGCAAAGCTTAATTTTGACCTGGTCTTCCCAGCGGACAGCAGACTTGAAGCCAGTTGAAATACTGAAGTCAGCCTTCCCTGACTCCCCGTCACCTGCTGCCCCTTATGAACAGCCACTGGTAGGTATGAACAGATTCAGCCTGAACCAGTGGCAGAGGACTTCCCTAGTATGCACAAGGCCCTGGGGTTTGATTCCTCAGAACTCTGAAAACAAGACAAAATACAACAAAAACCAGGTAAATATTTTAGACCATGGCAAAATGCTGGCTATAGAGGCTACCAAAACCAAAAACTAAAAAAAAAAAATAGTCTACTATGCTAACAAACAAATGGTAAGAACTCAAAAAGATGATACCTCTACACAACAGTGCACTAAAGGGGCAACTGTGCCAGAAGCATGCAAATCCCTTGATGTGAAAAGAGAACAGAAGGACCAGGATACTTCTGAAAGCAGCATGCCACTACCAAACTGAGGTTGTAGTTTTGGGTGGTGATATCTCTCTCTCCTGGTCTCATGAAGCACAGGCTACTTCTGAACTCGCCACAAACCTGGCATGAACCTGACCATCCTGCCTCAGGCTCCCAAGTGTTGAAGCTGCCAGTGTGTAAGTGGTAATTTTTATCTCTTAATTCATTCTGTTTTTTGAGAATCAAAATTGTTAACAATAAAGAGTTGAAACAAAGAAAAATTCATGCTACATAACATTTTAAACCAAAGTTTAAAGTGAACTTACTTCTCTGGTCCAAAGGGGAAGTTTCTTAAGATACAGAATTAGTGCAATCAATGAGAATCCAATCAATTCCCAAAATTACAAAGCTGGAACAGCAGGTGTCTTGATTTGTGTAGGACTGGGAAATCATAGCGCTATTTTTATGTTTGGTATACAGAGAAGACCAGAGCTAACTGGTGGGTAAATGAACTTCAACACTGGGGAATCCTGGGAGTCTGGTAGTTCAGTTCACTCAGGATACCCTCTCCTCCGCAGCCCCTGTACAGACACTGTGTAGCCCTGACACCTGCACATCCGAGTGACACTTCTCTCTGCTGGTCTACTGCGAGCCATCATTTTCAGGTTTGTTCCTCTGATAACAGTATGAACTGAGAACATTTCTACACTGTCTTTCTATAGGACACTGGAATGGTCTCCTAACACAACTGTTTCTGTTAAAGTTGGCAGGTGACTGTCAGGGAGTCACACTTAAGACTTCCCATATGAGTCCAGAAACTGAGAATTTAAAAAATAGAGTCTGTGTACACCACAGTTCACATGTGACTGTCAGAGGACATGCGGGGCTGGTCTCAGGCTTAGGAGTAAGTGCCTTTATCCACTGAAACATTTCATCAGCCCAAGACTGGGAACTGTTTTGTTTCAGCTTCCTCTGAAGTGCACTTTCAGTCACTGTTTAAGCCGCTGTAAGATGACTGGAAAGGACAACAGGAATTCTTAGACATCACCTAAACTGAATGTCTGTTCAGTAACATTTTGTAGCTTACATACTTCTAGGGCTGAGAATTTGTTTCACTGTTTAATATAAAATGTTCCGTCTACCACTCTTTTCTTTAGTTACTTCCACTTATTCATACTGTCAATCTCTGTATACTATGTGCACCTCTGTGCTTCCATGCCAATATAAATTCCCCTGAAAATTCAACTTACAATAATGAATAAACAGAGAGCACCCAAAGATTTCTCTTACTACCACGTTTCCTGAGCCTCAGGCACACACTATACCACACAGCTGCAAGAATGCTCCTTTACTCCGCTCTTTGGATACAGTCCCTATGTAACCTAGGCAAGACTCAAACTCACAGCAATCTGGCCTCAGTCTCCTGAGTGCTGGGATTACAGGTGTGTATTATAGTGCTTCCAACTAAACCTTTGCTGAATTATATCAATGTTTTCAATGTTCTATATGATTATGTTTATCTGAATCCTTCTGAGTGTTATTTCATAGCCAATAATAGAAAGTCTTTATTAAAATATTGAAAAGTATAAAACAGCAATTATAAATTAGTAAACATCTAATAAAAAAGCAGTATTTTCTTCCCTTATACAGCACAAGAATCAGTGATTTGGGTATCATTTTTAGCCACCATCTGCCCTAGACTCACTTCACCACTGGAGACAACTTTTTAGTTTTTTAGGGTGGAAATCTATGTAGATACTAAGAAATAACTCTATTGTTTAAACTCGGGTGTTAAAAAATACAAATGCCATGTTAACATGTGAGGATAGCATCTCAAGACAGGTGTTATTTCAAAGGAGCTGTGAGGAATGCTGCACAAATGGACACTGAAAGTTAAGGCATCTTTCTGCTCTGTAGTGCTCCTGTGGGTCCAGCAAACTGTACAAATACTTCCTTTAAAAATATATCTTCTGTTATATTTCATTATTTCACTCCATCCATCATTTTCTTGCAAATAAAACTGAAAATAGTCCAAAATGTGTTTTTATATACCTATAAAAACAGAAACAATTATTAGTTGGAAGCCAATTTTCCTATTTCCTTAGATATTTAGTAATGCCCTATGGACTAACAAGTTAGGAACCGACTTGAATTCTATAATAACACAGGCTTTTGTAAACAGTGGAGGAGGGACCACTGAGCTTTCAACTTCCACTCAGGGTACCCTGCCTGCCCGCATAGACACCATCCAGGAATCAGTCTCTCACATCTGCATGCACATACTGCTAGAGAAACTCTAGCGGGGGTTTCCCCGACTACACAATAACACCGTATGGCGCAGTGCCATAAATGCAGACCCTGCAGCTAGCTCTTCACAGTGTGGCCTATTTGGCTCAATGGAGGCTTGGAACCCCTGCATCGGGAGCCTGGATCTCATCTTGTTCTAGGTCTTGAGCCCTGCCTCTAACTGCAGAGGCTCCAGTCCTCTGCAAAGCCCTGACCTCATGATAAACCTGGAGGGGAGGATGCAGGTGCTCCACTTGACAAGACCCCAGGTAAGATCCTCTGGAAAAATAAAAGTAGTCAGGAAAGAAAGCGGACACCAGGCCATAGGTTTGAGACAATGCTTTGTTGTGTCTTACAGAACTAACATTAACGAACCTGGAAGCCCTTTGTCTACCTTTAGTCAATCTTCATTTGATCAAACTTCAATAGTGAGCACCCTTTGTTCATTAAACTAACTAGTAAGGTACTGTATTCAATTAGTTTCATTAATCTACCAGCAAACGGTTAGTAAATTGTGTTAGATAAGGAAAATGAGATTCTGGCAGAATGCATATTCCAGTCATAGGACAGAATAGCTTGATTTGGGTGGTATAGTTTAAAAAAATGACAAACTGTTTTGAGATGAAATATGCAAATAAACTCCATTTTGCTGAAGGAAATTACCTGGATAGCATCTTACCTTGCTCTCATCAAATGGTTAGTTATGAACAAGTAGTACTCAATTTTCTATTGCCACTGTAACATGGTTATTTGTCCCTGTAAACATATAATTAATTATAAGATGAAAGAAGTATTAAGTTTCTGCTGAATGGATTTGTTAATTACATTAAAGTAAGTTATGTGAATATTGAAGGCTTAACGACAACTGTCTGCCTCTGTGTAGAAGGCAGGCGTGAGCACAGCACGTTAAGAGAATCCGTTAGGTCTTCATATATTCACCTCGTGAACATGGCACTGGGGTTAGATGTTAAGAGAATTCGTTAGGTCTTCATATATTCACCTCGTGAACATGGCACTGGGGTTAGATGTTAAGAGAATTCGTTAGGTCTTCATATATTCACCTCGTGAACATGGCACTGGGGTTAGATGTTAAGAGAATTCGTTAGGTCTTCTTATATTCACCTCGTGAACATGGCACTGGGGTTAGATGTTAAGAGAATTCGTTAGGTCTTCTTATATTCACCTCGTGAACATGGCACTGGGGTTAGATGTTAAGAGAATTCGTTAGGTCTTCATATATTCACCTCGTGAACATGGCACTGGGGTTAGATGTTAAGAGAATTCGTTAGGTCTTCTTATATTCACCTCGTGAACATGGCACTGGGGTTAGATGTTAAGAGAATTCGTTAGGTCTTCATATATTCACCTCGTGAACATGGCACTGGGGTTAGATGTTAAGAGAATTCGTTAGGTCTTCATATATTCACCTCGTGAACATGGCACTGGGGTTAGATGTTAAGAGAATTCGTTAGGTCTTCATATATTCACCTCGTGAACATGGCACTGGGGTTAGATGTTAAGAGAATTCGTTAGGTCTTCATATATTCACCTCGTGAACATGGCACTGGGGTTAGATGTTAAGAGAATTCGTTAGGTCTTCATATATTCACCTCGTGAACATGGCACTGGGGTTAGATGTTAAGAGAATTCGTTAGGTCTTCATATATTCACCTCGTGAACATGGCACTGGGGTTAGATGTTAAGAGAATCCGTTAGGTCTTCATATATTCACCTCGTGAACATGGCACTGGGGTTAGATGTTAAGAGAATCCGTTAGGTCTTCATATATTCACCTCGTGAACATGGCACTGGGGTTAGATGTTAAGAGAATTCGTTAGGTCTTCTTATATTCACCTCGTGAACATGGCACTGGGGTTAGATGTTAAGAGAATTCGTTAGGTCTTCATATATTCACCTCGTGAACATGGCACTGGGGTTAGATGTTAAGAGAATCCGTTAGGTCTTCATATATTCACCTCGTGAACATGGCACTGGGGTTAGATGTTAAGAGAATTCGTTAGGTCTTCTTATATTCACCTCGTGAACATGGCACTGGGGTTAGATGTTAAGAGAATTCGTTAGGTCTTCATATATTCACCTCGTGAACATGGCACTGGGGTTAGATGTTAAGAGAATTCGTTAGGTCTTCATATATTCACCTCGTGAACATGGCACTGGGGTTAGATGTTAAGAGAATTCGTTAGGTCTTCTTATATTCACCTCGTGAACATGGCACTGGGGTTAGATGTTAAGAGAATTCGTTAGGTCTTCATATATTCACCTCGTGAACATGGCACTGGGGTTAGATGTTAAGAGAATTCGTTAGGTCTTCATATATTCACCTCGTGAACATGGCACTGGGGTTAGATGTTAAGAGAATTCGTTAGGTCTTCTTATATTCACCTCGTGAACATGGCACTGGGGTTAGATGTTAAGAGAATTCGTTAGGTCTTCATATATTCACCTCGTGAACATGGCACTGGGGTTAGATGTTAAGAGAATTCGTTAGGTCTTCATATATTCACCTCGTGAACATGGCACTGGGGTTAGATGTTAAGAGAATTCGTTAGGTCTTCTTATATTCACCTCGTGAACATGGCACTGGGGTTAGATGTTAAGAGAATTCGTTAGGTCTTCTTATATTCACCTCGTGAACATGGCACTGGGGTTAGATGTTAAGAGAATTCGTTAGGTCTTCTTATATTCACCTCGTGAACATGGCACTGGGGTTAGATGTTAAGAGAATTCGTTAGGTCTTCTTATATTCACCTCGTGAACATGGCACTGGGGTTAGATGTTAAGAGAATTCGTTAGGTCTTCTTATATTCACCTCGTGAACATGGCACTGGGGTTAGATGTTAAGAGAATTCGTTAGGTCTTCTTATATTCACCTCGTGAACATGGCACTGGGGTTAGATGTTAAGAGAATTCGTTAGGTCTTCTTATATTCACCTCGTGAACATGGCACTGGGGTTAGATGTTAAGAGAATTCGTTAGGTCTTCTTATATTCACCTCATGAACATGGCACTGGGGTTAGATGTTAAGCAGCAGTAATTAAGAAGTGCATGGAACACATCTCTCCATTACCTTACCTAGGAGCTGAATAATCTTAAAGACCCTAAGGCCCTTCATTTATTTATGACATTTTTGATACAGAGTCTCACTCTGTGGTCTAGGCTGGCCCCTAGTACTTCAGCTTCTAAGTACTAGAATACAAGGATGTGTTAGCATGACTGGTAAGGGGAAAGAGGTTCTAAATGCTTCTCAAAGACCAGAGCTATTCAGACCAGGTCACAGGGTACTTCCTGGACTTCCTATGAACTGATCTGAATAGCTCCAACCGTTTTCCTATGATCACCAGGTTACTGACACTGGACTCAGGAAGCTCCTGTGACAGCCTGAGAAAGAACTGGGGGTAGTGACACTCGTGAAATGGTCAGATGGTACTGGAAACCCAGTTCTGATCAGAAATCCACTCAGCCTCAGCAGCTGTTCCAGTCACGGATTGGTCATTCAGAAAGGCTAAGACTTTGTCCATGCCACTCTTTGAAGAGTACAAAGCTCATGACACCCTCCGGTGAGGTTTCACAAGGAGCCTAGTCTGGCACAGAACTTGACTTCTCTGCCTCAGCCTCCCAAGAGCTAAAATTACAGCTGTGTGCCATACCCAGTTGAGTAAAATGCTTTTCAAAATTGTTCTCAATTAAATATAACCTGGAACACTAAAAAAACATTCTTAAACCAGGTGGTGGTGGCGCACGCCTTTAATCCCAGCACTAGGGAGACAGAGGCAGGTGGATCTCTGTGAGTTTGAGGCCAGTCTGGTCTACAGAGTAAGTTCCAAGACAGGCCCCAAAGCCACAGAGAAACCCTGTCTCAAAAACCAAAATCAAAACCAAGTTCTTAAAATATCATTCAGATTAGCCAACTTTCTGTACCTGGGTAAAGAAATGTGTGGCTGGGAACAGCCACCTGACCAGGAGCGGAGTGCGACTCGGTCACCATGCTGTGCCGTCCTCACGGACACGGCAAAAGCACTGACAGCAGACAACCTACATTTGGTTTCATTCAGTTTTGTTTAATCTGGTGATTTTCATCTGAACCAGGTGAGATTACCTGATCTGGTGACTCCTTCTTCAGCTCCATTCTCTAGCCACTGAGATTCACTGTCCAACAAACGGTTTTTTGATTCACTAAGTGGTTTGATAGGAAAAGGTTGATTTGAGCCAATACTGAAAAAGGAGCAGACAATTCAGTGAATACTTTCATGCTCAATTAAGGATACTTAATAATTAATAAGCAGCAAATTAGTATTTCTTTTCTGAAATATGTGAGGGCAACTCATGAGATCTTAGCACTCTGAAAAGGCTATCTCCAAGAGAAAAATGCCCACTACCCCCACCCCCCAGTCAAACGGCTCTCTGGGCCCAAAGTGTATATTCCAACACTGCCAAAGAAACCAGTTAGACTAAGAAACAACTTCAGGGGCCAGTGGGAAAGGGCTGTCAACACTTGTTAATCGGGAGCTGTGGTAGCATAGGACAGGTGGAGAGCTATGTCTGTGGCCAGTACAAAAGTTACCTGTCATCTCCCAGTTCTCTGCTTTCTACCTCTGCAGTTTAGATCTAAGGGGAAAAAATGATTCAGTAATTTATCGTAGACTTATTTTTCTAACTAAGAGAACCAGGGAGGAAGGGAAAGGAGGAGGAAAGGAGGAAAAGGAAGAGAGATTGCCAAGTACTTCTTATGGGCCAGACACTACGCTGGGTGCTACATACTATCTCCCCCGTCTCGGGAACCCAGGGAAAGGAAACAGACTTGCCTGAGTGACTTGTTAGAACGACAGTAAGGGCTGACAGTAAGGGCTAGAGCTGAAGGGTCAAAGGCTTTCGGTGCAGTGTGGAGGCCTGCCTGCTGACATCAACATGCTAGTCTGGAGCTTAAAGTCCTTTTCACCCTCTTTTTTTTTTTTTTTACCAAGACAGGCTTTCTCTGTAACAGCCCTGGCTATCTCACTCTGCAGACCAGGCTGGCCTCAAACTAACAAAGATCTGTCTGCCCCTCTGCCTCCCAAGTGCTGGGGTTAAAGGCGTGCACTACCATGCCTGGGTACCTTTCTTTTTTTGTATGTGTGTTGAGAGAAATATAAACTTATGAATCAGTTTTCTTGGTGTGCAATTATGTTAAGAAATTTCTTTTAAAATAAATAAGAAACTATTGGTACTTTCAAATTCTCATTAATTATCCTGACATTGTAATTAAAACCTAACTAAGGGTTATTAGAATAATGACAGTGCTTTGAAATTTTTCTTTGAAAAAATACAACTTGGTACAAGCCAATATAATCAAGTCTTGAAAGGGATTTTCATTTCAAGAGGATGAAGACAGAGCATATTTGCTCGCTTACTAGGTTCCCCAGACATGGAGCTGCATGCATCTGTGCTGCCCTAACTGTCGACATGCTCTGCTCCTCCCGGTGTTCTGGTTTGCATGTAAAGTGTGGAAGACCAGGCACCTAACACACACTGCTCCTCCATTAGAAAGAGAACCGAGATAGGATTTTTCTTTTTCTGTCTGTTTCTTGGAGTGTGACTGTTTGTGCATGCGTCATTCACAAAGAACAGGCATCAGACTATTTTACAATACTGAAAAACTCAGGAACAAGGAACACACCTTCTGGCATATTCACTCTGGTTTGCAACAGAAGCTTGTTCCGGATCCATTCCCACAAGGCGAGTTGGAAAGCTGCAGCCATCACCCAAGCTGTATGATGAGGAACAACAATTATCTGAGTACTGATTTAATAACAATGGTCAAGTTTAACATTCCTTTTTCAGGGGCACGGTAGAACTAAAGCTTATCAAGTCTAAGCTTGGAAGTTCCTGCCTCCACTGCAGACAGTCTTTTCTCTTGCTACTCACACGTACTTAGAAACAATGTTGCCCTCTTAGCCCTTAGTGCAGACAGCCACCTTCACCATCACTGGAAACATCATCCACTCTCAAACTGAAATTGCAATGTAAGTCCATGAAAGTTCAACAGCACTGTGAGAAGAGCTGGCACTCCAGGGACAGCTCAGTGCTGAGCTCACAGGTAGTCCCTGTTCTCAGGTACTAAAAAACCAATCAGCCAACCAAAGAGCTGCTCAACACCTTGAAGTACAGTATACCAGTGAACAAAAAGACAAGCTCCCCCTGTGAGCTTATGGTTGTACAAAGAACTCAGCACAGCATGTTCTGCTGTCTTCACACTCCTGAGCCATCAGAACTGTGTACAGCAGAGACACTCACCTCTGGTCGAGACAGAGTGGCTGTAAATTTGACATGTCGTCATCAACAATCACAGACAGTATAGGGCAGGAGAGTAGATAAGAGGCAGGTAAGAACACTTGCTCTTGCAGAGGACCCAGGCTCCTTTCCTAGCACACACATGGTGGCTCACAACTGTCTCGGGGCATCTAGAGCCCACTTTTTGCCTCCCCTGGCATCAGGCATACATGTAGCGCACATATATATGTACAGGCAAAACTCTCATACACATAAATTTTAGAAAATTCTATTTTAAAGCATAACAAGCCCCAGACATCTGCTAAAGCCTAGGGATGGGGTAAATGCAAGCAAAGTAGTCTCACTGAATAAAGGCAACAGAGAAGGAAGAAGCTTTGGGAAGCTGAGATGGCTTGAAGCTAAAAGACAGAGGAGAAATGGCTATAGAAATATGCGAAGAACTGTTGCCACATCTGACTGATACTAGCCTGCGAAGGCAAACTGAGAAAAACAGCTGGAAACCTTACAGTGAACAAGTCCAAGCCCTGCAACACTGGACAGCATTCCCATTTGACCAGCCAGCAGGGAAAACTCTCTCAATTGAGATTTCACCTTTAGTAGTGCTAGACTTAGCCTTAAAGAAAATGCTACTCTTGATCCAACCTTGTAAGGCTTAAAACAAACGTCAAAAAGGCTATTGTGAAGCCTAAAAAACCTAACAGTGTGTCAAAACCAAACCTATCAGTTATAAAGAGAGACATAAAATCTAGACTGTGGGCTATCTAGCATTCAAAACAACCATGTTTAATTGGAAGTTATTGACAATGGAAAATAACAGGTAATGTGAATAGAACTAAGCAAAAACAACCAAGAGAAAACAAAGTGAGAGAGAGAGAGAGAGAGAGAGAGAGCGAGAGAGAGAGAGAGAAAGAGAGAGAGAGAGAGAGAGAGAGCGCACACAACACTCCCGTGTCATAATCTAGGAAAATATTTTCATGTTTCCAAAAGTGATTTATTTTTATTTTGAAGAGCTCGAGTCATTTTTATTTTTCTTCTTCCCATTCAAATGTGTACTTTTACTTTATGTATGTTCAAGATATTTTGAATTTTCATTTTAAAGTCCTTTAAAAACAATCTCTGAATCTTAAGCTATTTAGCCAGAGGCAGAGGCTACCACTGATTCCTACACTCTGTAACTTACCTGGAAAATACTGGAACTAGCCAGTACTTCTTCTCGTCACCAAAGACTTGTCTCCAATTTTTACTACATCCAAGAGAAAACCCGTTTCCATCTATTCCATACGAAAACATAGGTGCGCGGAAAGACTCTTTAAAAAAAAAAAGAAACAAACACAAATATGTATATACACATGAATAAATTTTATCTATTTAAAAATTAGAGGGAATGGAAAATATTAATTTTCTTGCCTACGGCTATGCCATGGACAGCTATGAACACAATTGTCACAGAGGATAAAAGGGATGACAATCACTGAGGTGAAGACGTCCTATTATCCGATCTGACCTGTACTGAAGTGTTACCTCAGCAAACACACAATCATTATGTCAACTAAACTCTACTTTAAAAAAGACAAATTTCAAACTTACTTGGAGACAGAATATTTTTATTTCCACCCTCTAAAATGATAGGCCCAAATAATTATCTACTATTACTTTCATTTACTATTTTGAGACAGGGTTTCTCTGTGTAGCTCTGGCTATCCTAGAACTCACCAAGTAGACCAGCCTGGCCTTGAACTCAAAGGGATCTGCCAGAGTCTGCCTGAGTGCTGGGAATAAAGGTGTGCACCACTGCTGGCTGGCGGCTCTAGATAAGAATCTCAGAGCAGCCTGTGTTATGCAAGACCCTATCGGAGAGAAGGGAGAAGTGGACAATAAGATGCATTTTTAGAGGCTTTTCAGTTTCACACGATTAAAGACTCCAAGTGTGACTGTGACGAAGATTGTCCAACATCAAAGGGATATAGACACACTTCTCCATTTACAATACTGGCTTCAGGTGGACACTGGAACGCAGTGAAATCTGGGTAGGTGAGTTAGGAAGACAGGCAGAGGTGGCATAGAGAATAAAGTACCCTCACAGGAAGAAACCACAGGCCTGCAGGAGGCCAGGGTGTGGGGGTTGAGACAGTAAAGGAAGTGGTATGCGAAGGCTACAGGGTTTCCAAAGCATGGCCACAGGAGCATCTGATTGGCTGAACTAGACTGTCCAAAATATGAGACCACATTACATAGGACTGGAATTAATGATATGCTCTGAAATTCTGTTTATCGATGTATTTGTAAATATATGTGCACATGATAAGTCATGATATAAAATGGTTTCACTGGTAAAAATAATGTGGCAAAAATTATTTAAGGAGGATAGTAGGAGGCCAAGAGGCACAGCCTACGGTCTGGACCTGAACTGTGTTCAAGGGCGGCACTAGTTGATGGCACTACCTGAGGGCAGTGGAACCAAGGAAGCAGTAGGTCCTGGAGGGAAGGGTAACATCCTTAAGAATTTAACGGGACCTTAAGGTGTCCTCTCTCTCCCTCGCCCCTGTTCCTCCTTGGCTGCCATTGGATCAGCAGCTTTCTGGCCGCACACGCTCCCTATCAGCGCACATGGGTCCCCACAGCACACAGCACAGGAGGTGAACATGGACAGAGACCTCTGCAAACACAGTGCAAAATCAAATCCTGATTCTGCTTCCTTCAAGTTGACCCAGCTGAGGTACTCCATTGTTCTTTTACACACAGGGGCTCAACGCCACACGGAAGAAACAAGCTATGTGAGAAACAGATTCAAGTGTTCACATCCCATCTATGACAAGGTTGCTCCTTAGACCTAGGTGGTCAGAACCAGTTGGGAAAATTGACCTACCAATACCACATTTATTATTATTGAATATGTAAAGGTGTTTTGCCTGAATGTATGTATGTACACCATATGTGTCTCGTGCTCAGAGGCTGGAGGAGGCATTGAGACCCCTGAAACTGGAGTTACAGTCAGGTGTCAATTCTGGTTTTCTATATTTCTATATATTGTTTGTTTGTTTGTTTTTTAAAGAGGTCTTTAGGATAGGGCTTTGCAAACAGGTCACGTTGTTGTCAGTTCTAGGGTAAGAGCACTTCTGTAAAGAGAACAAATTACTTAACAGACACAGAGAATTTTATTTATATGGAAAAAGTAAATCATAATGGACCTGAAGTGCTTAACAGTGAAGGGTGAGCTGGCAAGGAAGAAAAAACCCTTATACTGAAAGTCACATAATTCACACAGCCCAATAAGAAACCAGACCATAGGGCTGGAGAGATGGTTCTGTGGTTAAGAGCACTGCCTGCTCTTCCAGAGGACCTGAGTTCAATTTCCAGCAACCACATGGTGGCTCACAACCATCTGTTATGAGATCTGGTGCCCTCTTCTGGCCTGCAGGCATACATGCAGAAAGAACACTTTATACATAATAAATAAATCTTAAAAAAAATCAAGACCATATAATTCAAATATAGTAACTAAAATGTGTTCTCAAATCTCTTAATTCTCTATATTAAAAGTTGTTTCCTTCCAATTCTGGCAAACACACAGGCTTTGGATGCATGTGGATTCTAAGTATTAACACGGCAGTGAGCTGGCATGACAGTTCAGCGTGAGCAGGGCCTCCAGAGTGTCTTGCTAGGCACCTTAAGCTGGTCTCACACTTGTAACCCTGCCTTAGCTCCTGACTGCTGGAAGAAAGGGCACACACCACAAAACCCAGTCCTACCACCCTTGAACACCTTTGTTGTGGAATATTATTTTAAGGTGTGTTACATGTCTGTGCTGTGGAATTATTTGTTTAACGATGCAAAGATATGTTACATTCTTTTATGTTGCATTTGTTTGACTCTATGAAGCTGTGTTACTTTGCCTGTCTAAAACACCTGATTGGCCTAATTAAGAGCTGAATGGCCAACAGCAAGGCAGGAGGAAGGATAGGTGGGGCTGGCAAGAAGAGAGAATAAACAGGAGGAGAGATCTGGGAGGAGAAGATGAAGGAGCAAGAAACAGAGAAGAGTCACCCAGCTACGCAGCCAGCCATGGAGTAAGAAATAAAGGTATATAGAAATAAAAAAGGGTAAACACCCAGAGGCCAAAGATAGATGGGTTAACTTAAAATCTAGCTAGATACAAGCCAAGCTAAAGCCAGGCATTCATATGAAAGAAAAGGTCTCTATGTGTGATTTATTTGGGATCTGGGTGGTGGCCCCCAAAAGAGCACATGGTGATATTTTGTTTGTGATCTAACACATAAAGCTTGCCTGAAGATCAGAGTGCAGAGCTACGCCACTAATTGGCCATACAGGCCAGGCAGTGGGGGCACACATCTTTAATCCCAGCACTCGGGGAGGCAGAGGCAGACGGGATCTCTGTGAGTTCAAGGCCAACCTGCACCACACAAGATTGATTCTGTTTAAAAGAGAAACAGAGCCAGGTGGTGGTGGTTCACACCTTTAATCCAGTAGTTGGGAGTCACAGGCCTTTAATCCCAGCACTAGGAAGGCTGGGCAGAGAGAGAGGAATGTAAGGTGGGAGGAGACAGGAGCTCATAAAGTCTCTCCGGTGACTGCTCCTTTGCTTCTCTGATCTTTTATCATTTATCCGATATCTGATTCTGGGTTTTTATTAAGACCAATTAGAATTCACCCAACAAGAGCAAAAGAATAAAGAGTAGAAACAACCAATGACACATCTTAATTAATTATTCCTCTATATTTGTTTCTGTTTTTTATGTTTGTTTCTTTTTGCATTTATCTACTTATTCGGTGTGTCTATATATCCACATTGCTAAACATGTGTGGAGGTCAGAGGACAATCTGTAGGAGCTGGTTCTTTCTTTTTCCACTATGTGGGTTCAGGAGACTGAGCTCAGACCATCAGGTTTGGTAGCAAGTGCCCTTACCTACCAAGCCATCTCTCCAGGCTTGTATTTTCATTTTAAAAATTAGGAAGAAAAAACTGGTTAACAATAATACTATGCACTAAATTTCACTGACAACTGACACAAAACTGAAAATAAAAACCATGTCATAAGCAGTAGCCCCTAGAACATATGCCCATCAAATGTGCATGGGGGGTCAAGAATACACGAAATATGCTCTCTTAGCAAGAAAGTAAACCAAAGGATTTAAAATGGTTTATGTCTAAGCATCAACTTTAAGCATGCAAATCTATCATTCAGAGACTAGTTTTCGAAAGATACTGTATAAACACAGGTAATAACTTTTATTTATAAGTTTATAAACTATAAATTTTGCTATATAATACATTAATGAAATCATCCTACATAAAGTCACTTCGGCAGCCCTCTCCAACACGAGTCTAGGTATCTTATACACCCAATGTATCCAAAACTGAAGTTAAATACACAATAGCTTTTCGTTTCTTTATTGCCCACTACAATTTTTCTATACATTTCACATTAATTTGTGGTCATTTTTAAAAAAGACTTTATTTACCTATTGTCGTTCTATTTTTCCCAACTAGCCAGCAGTGGTAGCTAAACAGTGAGAGCACGCTGACGAAGAACATTGCGGACACAAAGAAAAGGAACAGCACGTGGAACTTTGCACGAGACTCCTTCAGTTCATTCTGAGGAAAGAAGAAGGAAGGGTTATTGTGAGGATAGGAAACCTCTAAAACACAACTTGTAATCTGGGTCTTCCCAAGGATGGAATCCACCACACACATACAGACACACACATACTCTAAAAGTCATATATGAGGAGTAATAAAATAAATGAGACCATGTATTCTGAATCCAAAGTCTCATAGCAGGCTGAACCCATAAACAGTCCTAAGTCATTTAAAAACTGTCCTCAGGAGCTGGAGAGACGGCTCAGGGGTTCTTCCCGGCGTTCACAAGGCAGCTTAGCACAGTCTGTGACTCCAGTCCTAGGTGACCACACCCTCTTCTGACTTGTGGGCACCAGATATAAATGCATGTATACTCCCACCCAAACACACAAGGGAATAATAAATATTACAAGCATTTTAAAAAGTTTTCCTTAAGCATCTAATGATCTCAGCAGTTCAGTCATGAAATGAAAATATAGACTGTTCCTGTTTCTTTCACACCGTGCGGATGTACTCAGATTTCCCTCCACAGCCGGAGGAACAAAGGCACTTCCATTTGTGTAAACAGCTGCTACTCACACAGGCTCTAAACCCAGCGGAATGTGACAGGTCTCTCTTTTACTTCTGTGCATCTCTCCTCTAAGGGGTCCATGTCCTTAGAAGCTCTGAGGCCCACTCCTCATCCTGGTTTATTTTCTTTAGTCTTTGTAGGTGATGGCCATTTCATAAAGGTTGCCATAAGGTATTAAAGAATGAACAGATTCTTTTGTTCCTTCTTACAGAAATAAAGCTATTAACAGTAAGGCGCCTTTAAATATTTCCTTTTAAATAAAACACTGAAGGGGCTTGAGATGTAGCTCAGTCAGAAAAATGCTTGCCTAGTATGCATGAAGTCCTACGTTCAGAACCTAGCATGACAAAAAACTGAGCATGGTAGTGCCTGCCTTAATTACAGGACTCAAGAAGTGGAGGCAGGAGGATCACAAGTTCAAGGTCATTTTTAACTAAACAGTAAGTTAAAGGTCATTTGGGACACATGAGACTGTCTCAAAAACTGTATAAGCAAGTCTCCTAGTTTTTCAAAACAGGCCGCACTATTTAATTTAAAAAATGTTTAATGGGCTGGACATGGTGGCATGTACTTTTAATCCTAGCACTAGGTAGGCAGAGGCAGGATGATCTGTCTACATAGCTAGTTCTAGGATAGCGAGGATCACACAGAAAGATCCTGTCTCAAAGGGGGTGGGGGACCCACACACTGGAGGATGGCTCCTTCAGGTGGCTCACAACTACTTACAACTTTAATACACACACCTTTTTTTTTAAAATTAAAGTTCCTAACCAAAGGGCCAGCAAGATGGCTCAGAGGTAGAAAGTGCTTGTTGCCCAAGTTCAATCCCTAAAAGTTAACCTCTCGCCTCCATGTGTGTACGCATTCACGCGAGCATGTGCATCAGACACACAACTATAATTTAGTCCTAAAATTTAAAACAAAAAACATTTGATGGGGTTAGGAAGACGGCTTGGTGGTTTAAGGTATCTACCTGCTCTGAACGCCCCAAGACCCGAGCTGAAATCTCCAGCACTTACACAGGTAGTGGGAATGGCTACACCACCCCGTAGGCAGAGCAGAAAAATTTGCTGGCCAGGAAGAGGTGAAATGGCAGAGGAAGACATCCAACATCCTGCATTCGTGAAAACCTACACTCATGTGCATATACCACACACATACAATCCCACACATTACACACGCAGGCTTTGACAGACTGAAAGACTGTTTGTACTACTTTGTGTGTGCATGCATGCGTGCAAAGGAGACTGAACCTAGGGACTCAAAAACTTTACCATTGAACATTTCCCCATGAGTCCTACATTATTCTGATATTTATTTTTCTCCTCAGAGTAACCACTCTACTTTTAAAACAAAGTGACTATTCTATCTTGCCAACTTGTAAAGCAAATTTCAATGACATGCATTCACTCTGTAGAGAGATCATGAGAATGGCATGGCAATGATGTGTTTTACCTTCGGGCAATTCTCTGTAGATTTCCTGCGGCAAAGCTTGTGCAAATAGAGACAATGTATTAAGAAAACAACTTTTATACAAAGTTATCCTGAAAACTAGGCTTTATCAGTTATGTGCATTTGGAAGGAATACAAGTAGTTGCCCTCTAATGGTCTACATTTTTCCAGAAAGTAAAAAACACCCAAAACATACAGGTCACAACATTTCTCTCTTCAGGCACATGTCAGAGACATGTGCTTTTCCTCTAAACATGTGCTTTTCCACCCAACTACACAGAAACTTGTGTCTGAAAGAACAAAATAAACGTTTAGCATGACCATCTGTAATTCTGTAACCTTGGTTGGTTAGTGCTTCCAGAAATGGGACCCGAAGACTCGGCACCTCACTGCTATTGCCTGTTTCAGCTGGGAAAACAATGGCAGCTTCAGACAGCTCAGCAATCAGAACCTTTTACAAGTCACAGCATGTCACCCCTGTTCCCATTTTACTGAAGACAGACAGATAGATAGACAGAGACACCTTCTAACACTAGAGATCACTAAAGTCCCTTTTTCACTTAGCCCTACCAGGATCCTGGGCTTCCCTTTAGCACCCATCCTTAGTCTAATCTAGCTATAAAAAGTTCCTACGGCACTGGGCGATGGCGGCACACTCCTTTAATCCCAACACTTAGGAGGCAGACAGGCGGATCTCTGAGTCTGAGGTCAGTCTGGTCTGCAGAGTGAGTTCCAGGATGGCCAGGAATGCACAGAGGAAACGCTCCCTTGGTATAGTTCAAACACTCCAGTGGTACCTACAGACTCCTCTGGCTTAAATGCTCTTCCCTCAGACATCAATTCCCTTCTATCTTGGTTTAGATTTCCCACTCATAGTGCGGCCTTCCTTGTCCACTCACTTTAATAAGCAGCCCAGACACGTGAAGGTGAGTTAGCTGCTTAACCCTGGGGTCCACTGTGCATCTCCTGCTGACTGAGAGCACAGAAACCTCATACAGCAACACTGTCTACAGACAGACAATTCCAACAAAGATGCATATTTAGAATACAACGTTTGCGACCTTGAATTTAACTGTATTAGCACTCTCCTAAGTCTAAAAAAATACACCATAAAAACCACATTAAAATTTCATTTGATTTTAGAGGCAGGGTCTTACTGTATATGGAGACCAGGCTGGCTTCAAACTTAAGAAAGTATATTCTTTAAAATAAGAGGAGTAACTAAGCTAGTTCAGTTTTGTTTAACTCTACCTATTTTTTTAAACTTTGCTTCATCTTTTTTTTTTTTTTTTTGAGACAGTTTCCCTGTGTAGCCCTGGTTGTCCTGGAACTATTTTGTAGTTCAGGCTGGCCTCAAACTCACTGAGATCTGCCTGCCTCTGCCTCCCAAGTGCTGGGATTAAAGGTATGTGCCACTGTACCTGACAACTTTGCTTCATCTTTAAATCTTGTAGGTTGCATCTTCTGAACAATGTAATTTAGCCACAAAATCATAATCATTGAAAGGATATTTAAACGTGACTCTGGAGAAACCTGCACCCATGCCTTGAGTGTGTACTGCCCCTTTCCTGCACATCTTCCTCTCAATGCCAGCATTTAACTCTAGCTCAGTGGTTCTCAATCTTCCTAATAAACTGTGACCCTTTACTACAGTTCATGTTGTGGTGAACGCCAATCATACAAATATTTTCGTTGCTACTTCCTAACTACAATTTTGCAACTGTTATGAGTTGTAGAGTAAATATCTGCTATATGACCCCTCTGAAAGGGGTCATGACCCCAGGCTGAGAACGGTTGCTCAGAAGCATGTACTCTATCTGTCTTTGCTCACTAACTCTGGCTTGTCCTAAAAAGTTTCTGTGGAAGTCAGGACAGCGGCAGTGCTGGGCTGCATCTTCCTGATGGCGCTTAAGCTCACACTAGCACTTAATTAGTTTTTTGTTTCTTTGAGACTAGGTCTCACTATGTAGCTGTATCTGACCTGGAACTCTGTATTTCAGGCTGGCTTTGAACTCACAGAGATCGCATCCCTCTGCTTCCTGAGTGCTGGGATTAAAGGCGTGTGCCACTATGCCCAGCATGTAGAAAGTTTAGAATCACACATTTTAAATTTTATTTTATATAGAGGGTTTTTGTGTGGACATATATATGTGCACCATATACATGAATATAAACGGTTGTGAGCCAGGATGCAGATACTGGGAACTGAACCTGGGTCCTCTGCAAGAGCAACATGTGTTTTAAACCAGTGAGCCATCATCTCTCCAGCCCCCTGAATTACAATGCTTTAGTAAACATCTCTCTAAAATACACAAGGCATTTCTTGTGTTGTGCTCCATGACTCAGAGCTGTACCCGGCTTTTAAGAAACAAGTGACCTTGGAAAGTACCTGGACCCTGGGATAGACAGACCTGACTTTAAATTCTAATTTTCTATACTATGAAACACATGACCTAGCTTCTCCAATCTCACTCTGACAATTGCAGTCACAACAACCCTCTGCACAAAACCACAGTTCCTTATCTTCCTGTATAGATACACTGGGATCTGGAGCTTCACTGACTTGAGGAGATAACTCCTGAAGTGACATTTTGTGTTTTAACAAAGTTTGCCTGAAGATCAGAGTGCAGAGTTAAACCACTAAAAGCCAGGTAGTATTGGCACACACCTTTAAACCCAGGACTCAGGAGTCAGAGGCAGAAGGATCCCTGTTAGTCAAGGCCACCATGGGAAACACTACACAAAATTAATTCCAGTCTATAAGAGAAACAGAACTCACTCAAAGGTGATTCCAGCACTTGGGATCCAAGGCCTTTTATCCCAGCACTGGGGAGGTGGAGACATGATTGATATGGCTGGGCGGAGAGAAGAATATAAGGCAGGAGACAGGCACTCAAAGCAATCTGAGGAGCAGTCTGAGAACAAGATCGCCCCTTTGGTCTGAGCATTGGTAGAGGTAAGAACTCTAGTGGCTGGCCACTGCTTCTCTGATCTTTCAGTTTTCACCCCGATAGCTGACTCTGGGATTTTACTAATAAAACCAATTAAAATTCACGCTACAAATGGCCCACCCAAATTCACCAGTACTTAGAAAAGCACTCACTACTAGGAGGGCAACTTTCAAAGGCTAACCAATCCAGAGCCCAAACTCCAAACCTAGTCCAAGTTCCCATTCCCTAGCCCCCTGCCACCTTATCTAGAGGCAGCATTCCTCCTCCCACAATCCACTGAGATGGAGATTATTCAAACTGAGAACCCTAAAGCAGTTCATCTGTTCAGACACCAGCAGCTCTCACCCTCGCTGAGCCTTGTTAGGCTGTGTCTGTTCTTTCTTTGATTACCTTCTCAGCCACAATGGCCCGGCCCTAGGTCTGTGGCCTCACCAGACCTGGATAACAAAACACGCATTTTAAACTTTCCCCTGGGTGTTAAAAAGAGTAAATGTGGACATACTTCTATACCACAATTATCTCCTCCTCCAAATCACAATGTAAAAGTGAAAATGGAAGCAGTAATAACATCAGAAGAAAATGGGTGACCAGACAGCAGACGGAAACATGAATAAAAACAGCTGGTTAAGAAATAGAAAACTTTGACAGAAACAAAACAAACCTACTTAGAAGACACAAAATGAAATGGGAATAGAAGCTTTGCAGCCACAGTCAGAGAAAGACAGCACCAAGAAGAGCCAGCGCCCTGAAGACAGCATACTAGGCCAACAGCACTGGGGAGGCCTTTCAACTTGCAAACTCTGCTGTTCTGTGTGGCCCAGGGTGGGCTCACAGCTGGGGTCCAGACAAATCTATCTCTGCTAACAGAGTCCTCGACTACAGGTGCAGTCCCTCCTGGTAGGAGGAAGTGACAGTTTTAGTGCTGCCTAAATTATGAACTTTGCTGTTATAGCTGGTAATTTCTGTATTTTATTGAAGAAAGGCTCAGAGATACCAAGGTCATGAATAAAGACTCGTATCTATTTTATGAAAACAAAACCCTATCAGAAAAAGTGGACATGGCACAAACGTGGGCGCTCACAGAAAGCCATGGCAACGGCTGGAAAAAGTCTCTCTCACACTTGCAGAGTAAAGTTGGGTACTGTGTTTCTAGATTAACGGGAGTTGCACCTATCAAAGGAGAGCAAGAACATGGCAGCAGGAGACAGACGTAGCTACAACAGAAATGGTTTGAGACATACAATGAGAAAAACAAAGTCATCTTAATAGGCTAGCGGGGAAGGATTGCCATGAGTTTAGGCCACACAGTGAGTTCTAGACTAGACTGGTTAATTTAAGACCCTGTCTCAAACACAGATGAACAGACAGACATCTACTGGGTGCTTATTATACACCACATGCTTACATTAACTTAAGCTATCAATTCAGTGCAGTAAGTATGACTCCAGATTTCACAACTGAAAAAGCAATCTAAGCTAACTTCACACTGCTTATTTTACCACTCAGCAAACACTCACTAAACACTTACTGTGTCGTGGGCTAGGTAACATCCTAGAGGCTCCACCAATGGAAGACAGAATTTCTTGCCTTCATGGAGTTTAAATTATAGCAAATACATAAGCAAAGCCCATGCCCTTTCCCTGGGAGCCGTGTAATTCTAGATCTTGGTATGAGAGGACGAACAAGGCCTCAGAGATGACATCACTATTCTAGCCTGGCAACCAATGGCCTGGTGTAGATTTTGTTCCCATTACAGTAGATAAGCATGGAGAAAAACAATGGAAAGAAAATAGGAAACGTATTTGAAATGTCCATTTTTATGAAGACTATCATGTCTGATGGCTCAGTAATAATTATCAATTGAAGATTGGGTATTGGGTTTAGCAGTGTGACAGTCAAGACTGAACCTACATTTAATGGGGCTGATGACAGTAGGGAGAAAGAAACAGAGATGAAAAATATTCAGATATTTAAAGATTTTAATAAATAGGTAGTTTTAATATATCTTAAAATTATTTCTAAATTATATCAGTAGAACATGCAAATATAAAAACCAAACATTATGAGAATGTCATAATGAAAAACAGTTTCCCACACTACTTCTAAGACGGAGTTCTTTCCACATTTCTGGTACTTATTTTCCCCTTAAGTATATACACTTCCACATTAAAATGGTTTCAACCTGATTATGTATTCTGAACAGATGGACATTTGTATATGGTAACCAAAATCCCCAGGAAAATAGGAGCGAGCATTCTCCGTCCTGGCTGTGGCGCCCAGCAGCTCTCCAGCGTGTCCAGAGTGGTCAGGACACACTAGTAGGTTATTCCCGTTAGACACCACCACATCCTATACACACTGATGTGGTCCCTGCTCCTGATGCATGGTACATCTCAGAGACCACTTCCCAGTCATTTGTCACACGAAGCTGCTTGTTTCTACAGGATTTCTCCTCAGATAAATCACACTTTAGTCCCTTGTTGATAAAACATTTGATTATTTTGAACTACTTGTCTTTTTTTTTTTTTTTGGATTTTTTCGAGACAGGGTTCCTGTCCTGGAACTAGCTCTTGTAGACCAGGCTGGTCTCGAACTCACAGAGATCCGCCTGCCTCTGCCTCCCGAGCGCTGGGATTAAAGGTGTGTACCACCACCGCCCAGCTTACTTGTCATTTTTTTTAAAACTCGGAAAGGATCGGGGCTGGAGAGACAGCTCAGTTGTTGAGAGCACTGGCTCTTCTTGCAGAGGACTTGGGTTCAACGCCCAGCACATATATATCAGGTCAGCTCACAATCTTCTGCAATTCGTTTCAGGGGATCTGATACCCTCTTCTGCTCTCTGCAGGAACCAGGCACACATATGGTGCACAGACATAAATGGCAAAACATCCACATTCATAAAATAAAAATAAATCTTTTCTAAGATTCTGAAAAAAACCGTATACAGACAGAAAGCAAGTGTTTGTCTGGCCCAAGATGCCATTGACTGCAGCACCACCCAAGTGTCATCACAGCAGGAGAAAGAGGGCAGACATCTCTCCCGCAGCTCTAACAGTCCGCACCAGTCACCTAGAGCCTGTGCACTTGGACACAGACTTGCAAGTCAAGTGTAGTCCTGGCCGAGCCATTATACAAGATAATAAAAAGCATCAAGAAATTCGTTTCAAATACACATCTTTAAACATTTTTTATATATGTTTAAGACAGAAAAAAGACTTACCGTCCAAAATTTTATGAAATACTCTAAAACTGTTGAAGCCACAAAAAGGCAATATAGTAGGGAATACAACAAAAACAGCATGAAGAATTTGTAATTAGTAAATCCCACACAGTTATTCACCCTAGAAGAATATAGAAAGCAACATTGTAAGATAAGACAAATCACAAATATACAGAAAGAGAAAGCAAAACAGGGTCTCAGGGCCAGTGGGAGCGGTGTGTAGGGAGTGCCTCATGGGACAGCTCAGCTCTGTAGATGTGAGAATCTTGGAGCTTGTACCAAAATGGGAATATACCTAACGTTACTTAGTTTATGGAGATGGCAAGATAGTAAATTAACGGATGCCTTGAAGTCATAAGTGGGGGAAAGAAAGCAGAAAGGTTACATCATTACTATCGGGAAATAGGACAAGTGAGAAGTGGAAAACAACAGTATCGTAACTGTGGATGTTTTTAATTGTTATACAAATTTTTGCAACTCGAATGTTAATTTTTAACTTATTACCATTTGGATTATTTATCAGAGATATTTTTAAATGAAAAATATAAGTGCATCTACATGTGTATGCACAGATATACATATCTATATACGTTTATATGTGTGTGTGTATATGTATTAGTAATTTAATTGAGCTCAAAAACAAGACCACTGGAATGGGGTATATGGTTTTAGTCATAGAGAGCACTTACAATGTGTAGAGACCCTGGATGTAAACACTAGTACCAGTGGAGGAAAAAAGGATTACTAAAGAAAATCATTCTCAGTTCCCTGCTTCTAACGTCCAACCTCCACCCCTTTGATTTAGGCAATTTCTACTCTTTTTCATACATACCAAGGACAGTGATGATCCATCTTAAGAACACATCTAGGAATCAAGCATAAGAAAAGTCCATTCAGAAAAATCCTGACTCTAATTTCTCATTATTTTACTGAAGTTAAAATATCCCCTTAAAACTAAATCTTTGAGAACCAACCTAGAAACACCAGGTAACTTCTGCTACCTTCATAAGTACCTCCCCAGATAAACAGTCACTAGTTTTTACACTGTGATGTCAGTTCAACACAGCCAGCTTATTTACCACACCAAATGACATCTTATTATTCAGGTCTGGGAATGATTCTTGGTACATTAGAGGGCCCAATTTGAACATCAGCTAAGGAGATAAACAGATGACCTCTAGTACTATAGGCATGAGCAGATCAAGAAAGTCAATCCTTAGAAGTGCACACACCAGACACTAACACATAGCTTAAGATGGTTGCTTTCCTACATTCTTTAACATCAAGTTTCCCCGTGATGACCACTACTATACTTTAGCATAAGAACACCAAAACAAAACCAAACTTTCTTCCCTCTAGAGTACTTTTTATACATGTAGAAAGCGAGATTACAGAGCTCACAAAGAATGAGAAACTCAACACCCAGAAACTTACACAGCTTGTCTAAGAGGCTTGGATTAGTCAAGAGTTTTATTTTATTATTATTATTTTTAATATAGATTTATTTATTTATTATGTATACAATATTCTGCCTTCATGTATGCCCGCACGCCAGAAGAGGGCACCAGATCTCATTACAGATGGTTGTGAGCCATCATGTGGTTGCTGGGAATTGAACTCAGGACCTCTGGAAGAGCAACCAGTGCTCTTAACCACTGAGCCATCTCTCCAGCCCCCCACTCAAGAGTTTTAAACCAAGTAGATTTAAAATTAAAATTCTACTCAACTAGCGGAGAAATGGTTATCAAAGACTTCTTCTAGTATATTCTAGCTTATATACGTATTTATGTCAGCTCTATGTCCACAGCAAATAATGGGAAAGGATGAAATGGCTTTGCTAAATATGAAGAAGCATGTAAAATGTTTCTCTGTTGCCAAATTCCAGGGCAGGGTTAAAGGAAAACAAACTGAGTAACACTCACCGGTCACACGCAGAGCAGTGATGAGCCCGATCAGGTTTAATCAACTGACATTTTTCACAATATCGGATAGCTAGAGAGAAGAAAAAAAGAAACAACTCAAAGGTGTGCAAGCTTACTGATACATAAAGCTTGAAATTTGGAATATATTCTGGAAACCGACAGTGAGCCATTTTAAAATACCAAAATGCACCAGAGTATCTCAAATAAAATGTCAAGAAAAAGGGGGCCTCATAATGTATCTTCCCAGAAGTTTTCAAACTAAATAAAGTAGATCTGAAGTAAGCAGTGTGCAGAAGTCCAAACACCAAGACGAATAGCAGAACTAGTCCAGAGCTCAGGTCCACCGAGTCCCAGACCCAGTGCTTTGTTGACTACAGCACACCGTCTGGAACAGAGTCTCACCATACTTAAGACATTCACCTTCTGTCTGAATCCGCCCTATTCCAGACCAATGAGGATTCAGTTTTGGAACAACAACAAAAACCTCTTTGAAACTAAAATTCTAATACATGCTATGCTATTGTCTGGTTCACATTCAATTGTTCAAAGATACTGATCACCTACTATGTGCCAGGTAATCTAAACAAAAATCCCTACTTTGTGAAGCTTACATATTCTATGTTCTAGGGACTAAGACAATCAATAGAATAAACAATGCATTGGATCGTGACAGTGGACAGTAAGGAAACAGAATGGGAGGAGTCCAACTCACAAACATCCGAGAAAACAAAGGGAGTTTGAGGATAAGGGTGTCTCTCAGAAGGCAGAGCCTAGCACAAAATGCTAGATGCCTGGGAGGCTTGAGGCAGAAGGATCTGAAGTTCAAGGTCATTATCAACTACACAGGGAGTTTGAGGCCAATATGGGATATAGAGGCGTGAAAGAAAAACTAACAAACAAACAAAACCTCCTACTCTCTTGGAAAATGAAGAATCTAGTTAGAGGAACAAACTCAGTGATAGAAAACTGCTTGACGGGTTTGAACAGTAACAAATGCGGGAACTGAAAAGATGGCTCAGTGGCTAAAAACATTTGCTGCTTGCTCTTTCAGAGAGGATCAAGGTTGAGTTCCCAGCACCCATGGCACGCGGCTCACAACCATTTATAACTCTAGCTCCGGACCTCTGGCCTCCTAGTATACATACTTACATGCAGACAAACATATACACACATACACACACCTACACCTAATTAAAAATAAATTTTTAAAATATAACAAATAAGAATGCTTATTACAGATATTTTAAATTTAAAAACGCCAGGGTAATTTCCTTTTTTAAAAAATGTGTATAAATGTTTTGCATGAATGTATGTTCCATGCAACCCGTTCATGCCTGGTGGCCTTGGAAGTCCAGAAGAGGGCATCAGATTCCTTGGAACTCGAATTACAGTTGTGAGCTGCCATGTAGGTACGAGGAAGTCCTGGGTCCTCTGGAAGAGTAGCCAGAGCTCTTAACTGCTGAGCTATTGCTCAAGTTCCTAAGAATAATTTTATCCATGAAATGGCTAAATACTTTATGGTATGTCTATATAGTGCACTATTCTGCAGAACAACAAGTTCCCACACAAAACACATATTCCGTTAAGGAAAATACAGCCAGCTGAAGATGGCACCACTAATGCTTAGTCTATATACCAAACAGAAACCTAAGGTTACATGTGTAGGAAGCTCAGGATCAGAAAGAAGCCAAGCACTTCATGTGCCCATTCCCCTACATCCTCCCTCCATGCTGTGTGTGACAGCTGTGCACATATTTAGGTGCAGGGATGTGAACAAAATCAAAAAGGTCCTACCAGAAACGGGTTGGAAAGGAAGGAGGAGAGGAAGGGAGGGAGGGAGGGAGGGAGGGAGGGAGGGAGGGAGATTAATCCAGTATTTAGAAGGCAGAAGCAGTGGGATTACTGTGAGTTCAATCCTAGCATGATCTACATATCGAGTTCTAGGGCTCCATATTGAAATCATGTCTAAAGGAGGGATAGAGGGAGGAAGGAAACAGTACTTAACAAATGAGCAGATAAAGGCAAATAGTTGCACAATCAAAGGAAACTTCATTCTTGTACAGAGCAACCAAAAAAAGCACAGTGTCAACGACAGAAATAGAGCAAGGTACAGATGTTTTTTCATTTGTTCAATGAATACTTGTGAGTTCTACGAATGATAAATACTGCCCCTTTCTAGAAATAAAGGTGAACACCTTTAATGCCAGCACTCATGAGATTTCTGAGTTTGAAGTCAGTCTGGTCTACAGAGGGAGTTCCAGGACAGCCAGGGCTACATGGAGAAATCCTGTGTCAAAACAAAATAAAATAAAAAAAAAAACAAACAAATAACAAAAAAGGATATAGCTATCAACCTGCTGTTTTGAAAATTACACACTGTCCAAATTTTGCTAAACTTGGGAATTCATAAACCCATTGCAAGTATGGAACGGGGTTAAAAACATCTAATATACAGAACTACAAGTACTATTATCAATTAGTTGTTTCAAAATTCTTCATAAAATAAAAAGGACTGCTTAATATTAGCTGTCACTTTTTGGAAATGAGTTCTGCTAAAACCTCATCACAGGCCGAGATGCACACTCGCGTGCTTTCTCTCATCTCATGCGGGTATGCACACTCACGTGCTTTCTCTCATCTCACACAGGGATGCACACTCGCGTGCTTTCTCTCATCTCACGCGGGGATGCACACTCGCGAGCTTTCTCTCATCTCACGCGGGGATGTACACTCGCGTGCTTTCTCTCATCTCACGCCGGGATGCACATGCGCGTGCTTTCTCTCATCTCACACAGGGATGCACACTCGCGTGCTTTCTCTCATCTCACGCCGAGATGCACACTCGCGTGCTTTCTCTCATCTCACGCCGGGATGCACACTCGCGTGCTTTCTCTCACCTCACGCGGGGATGCACACTCGCGTACTTTCTCTCATCACACGCGGGGATGCACACTCGCGTGCTTTCTCTCATCACACGCCGGGATGCACACTCGCGTGCTTTCTCTCATCTCACACAGGGATGCACACTCGCGTGCTTTCTCTCATCTCACACAGGGATGTACACTCGCGTGCTTTCTCTCATCACACGCGGGGATGCACACTCGCGTGCTTTCATCTCACGCGGGGATGCACACTCACGTGCTTTCTCTCATCTCATGCGGGGATGCACACTCGCGTGCTTTCTCTCATCTCACGCGGGGATGCACACTCGCGTGCTTTCTCTCATCTCACGCGGGGATGCACACTCGCGTGCTTTCTCTCATCTCATGTGGCATTTCTTTTTTTTTTTTTTTGTTTTTGTTTTTGTTTTTTCAAGACAGGGTTTCTCTGTGGCTTTGGAGCCTGTCCTGGAACTAGCTCTGTAGACCAGGCTGGCCTCGAACTCACAGAGATCCGCCTGCCTCTGCCTCCCGAGTGCTGGGATTAAAGGCGTGCGCCACCACCGCCCGGCCTCATGTGGCATTTCTACAGACCCAGAGAGCAGACGGACCCTCAGGCTGAAATGAAGAAACTGCAACAGGACAGGAGGCAGGGGAGGGAAGGGTTCTCATCCTTCCGGCTAAGAATGAAGAAGACCTCACAGACAACATGAACCATGGTACAGTCAAATTGCGTACTCTGACCTCTGTACAATGCACGGTTAGAGTTCCTTTGGCTTTCTGAACTGTTTCTATCCTTTCAATCTGAAATCTGTATAATGTACCTTAAAGATCCCATAATGGTCTCATTTACAAAAAAAAAATAATATACCAAAACACCTTTACTTAATCTCTTAAGCGTTTTTAACAATGTAACTTCAAAACCCAGCTTTTGTTAAGAGAGAAAAGTAACTCCTTCCTGAGAAGCCCACTCCGATGGGCACAGCCATCTTTCTCCTAAGCTGGCAACCTCTCTAGCACTGGTGTTTATCTATATCAGAAACTTTTTAGAAGTGTTTGTTTTTAATTAGGTACGTAAGAGTGTGTTTCCGTGAGTATGTGCACGTGGACGCAGGAGCCTGTGGTGGCTAGAAGAGGGTACTGGCTTCCCTGGAGCTAGTTACAGGTGGCTATGAGCCACACGACATGGATACCGGGACCAAACTCCGGTCCTTCACCGAGTAGAAAGAACGCTGAACCTATCATTTTTCTTAATAAACTTCAACTCTGCTTCATATTGACTCCTTCTGAAATTCTGTGATCTGTGTCACAAATCCTGGCTTGACCTTCAAGCCTCCGAAAGGACACTTGGGACTGCACTGCTAGCAGCATCAGGCTGTGGCTTCTGTTGCTACTGCCGTAACTTGGGTTTCAAATGTCTAAGTGACTTGTACAGCACTAGTAAAGAAAACATGACAGTTAAATCTACATTAGATGATTTTTTTATTTGCTTTTTTGTTGTTGTTGGGTTTCTTCTTTGTTTTGTTTGAGACAGGGTTTCTCAGTGTAGTCCTGGTTATTGTGGAATTCGCTTTACAGACCAGGCTGGTCTCAGAACTCACAGAGATCTGCCTGCTTCTGCCTCCTGAGTGCTGGGATTAACAGTGTGTGCAACCACTCCCCGTTTGCAACAGAGTATCCTATACTTTAATATGCTAACTATATCTTTTATCATGTGTTGCCTGTGTGTAGTATGTTTTTTTTTTGGTTTTTCGAGACAGGGTTTCTCTGTGGTTTTGGAGCCTGTCCTGGAACTAGCTCTTGTAGACCAGGCTGGTCTCGAACTCACAGAGATCCTCCTGCCTCTGCCTCCCAAGTGCTGGGATTAAAGGCGTGCGCCACCACCGCCTGGCCTGTGTGTAGTATGGTATACATATAGTACACATATGGAGACCACGAGAAAATCCGTCTTCCACTGCCTTGACATAGGATCTCCTACTCAGCAGGAAGCTGGCTGTTTTGGCCAGTGCTCTCAGAAAGTGCCTGTTCTCACCCTGCAGGGATACAGGCATTCACTGCAAAGCTGGATTTTTTTTTTAAAACTGGTTTTTAAATACTTGTTTCTTTGGTTTTTCTTTTCTTACTGTTTTAAAAAAGACCTATTTATTTATTATATATACAACATTCTGCCTCCATGTATGACTGTAAGCCAGAAGAGGGTATTATAGATGGTTGTGAGCCGCCATGTGGTTGCTGGGAATTGAAGCAAGTTGGGGAGGAAGGGTTTATTTGCTTATACTTCCACATCCATAGTCCATCACTGAAGGAAGTCAGAACAAGAGCTCCAACAGAGCAGGAACTGATGCAGAGACAATGAAGGGTGCTGCTTCCTGGCTTGCTCTCCATGGCTTGCTCAGCTTGCTTTCTTATAGAACCCAGGACTACAACCCAGCATGACCCCACCCACTATGGGCTGGGTCTTCATCCATCAATGGCAAATTAAGAAAATGCTCAATAGGCTGGCCCACAGCCCCTTCTTATGGGGGCATTTTCTCAACTGAGGCGCCCTCCTTGCTGAGGATTCTTGTTTGTGCCATGCTGACATAAAACGAGCCAGCACCTAGCTCAGAGTTCACGGCCTCACAAAATCTTAAATTTGGTCAATTTCTTCCCTGCTGTCTTTAATTCTCCCATTTTTCATACATTCTTGAGTTCTTTTTATTATTCAGGACATAGCATAGATGAATTCAAAGCAGAATTTTCAGATGATAGTGTTCTGGGAGCAGTACTTGAAAGGCTGAGTGTTAGAGGAAAGCAGGCAACGAGACAAACCAAACCCAGACTCACGAGAGTGAAGCCCTCCAACAACCTGCATCAATACAGGTAAGCATCCATTTACATCTGAAATATTGCACAACATACATTAAACAGGAGCCCGTGATCCTGGCATCACATGCAGGCATTAGTCAAGCCAAGCAGATCTATCAGGACAGAGACATTTAAAACTCCTTTGCCAAGTTCAGCCGATTTCTCTTACCTTTAGAAGCTGATGTGGTGTAGACAGGCAAGTCTCTTGCGGCTCTTCTTAAAATGTCTTGCTGTCTTTCTTGGCTGAACTCCTTCTCATAACGTTCTTTTTCCAAGTTTGACAAGTAGAACTAGAAAGAGAGAAATAACTACTAAACCCGTAATTCTTAGTTAATGTGCTGAGGAAAAGCTTTATCTAAAATAGGGGGAGTCTCATGAAGCAGAACAAAACTTGTTTCTTACTTAAGTTTATGTACATTTTAACAAAAACTACCCAGACTAAAGGAGTTAGGCTGGGTGGTACTGCCATGTGATTCAATCCCAGTACTGGGGAGGCAGGGGCAGGCAGAGCTCTGTGAGTTCAAGGCCAGCTTGGTCTAGAAAGGGAGTTCTAAGACAGCCAGGGCTCCACAGAGAAACCCTGCCTTGGGGGAAAAAAAAGTATTAGTGCTTCCTAGTAATGACTGGATAGGGCAGGAAATCCACTATTTTTGCACCTTTGCCTTTTACAGATGAAATTAAAATCCTTAATAAAAAATAGTTTAGCTGGGCGGTGGTGGCGCACGCCTTTAATCCCAGCACTCTGGGGAGGCAGAGGCAGGCGGATCTCTGTGAGTTCCAGGACAGGAACCAACTGCTACAAAGAAACCCTGTCTCGAAAATTTAAAAAAAAAAAATAGTTTAACACATCTATTCATTCAGTAAAAAAATATTGGGGGCTGGAAATATGGCTCAGTGGAAGAATGACTGCCTAGTGACACCAAGTAATTTTTCTTTTTTTATAAATTACTATTAACTAGGTATAATGCCTCATGCCCGCAATCCTAGTACTTGGAAGGCAGCAAAAGATTGCCATAAGTAAATACCTGGGCTGCAAGGTCTGACAAAAGAAAATTATGTAACAATAGATGAAATTAAAATAAGCATATATATAAGTAAATATGAAATATTTGTAAGTGAACTAAGTACGTAAAGTAAAAGTTACTACCAAGTGTTTTTCTTCTCCACTTGCATGTTTATGTATGTGTTCACAGTGGGTATATGTACATGTATGCTAATGCTGTATACATACGTGTGTGTGTGTGTGTGTGTGTGTATAGAGGTGTCAGAGATCAGTGTTGTGTGTTTTCCTCAATCACTCTCCTGAGTGCTGGGACTAAAGGTATGTGCCACCACACCCTGCTCCCTCTACTCTCCGTCTCCTCCCAATTCTCCCTGAGTCCCGGAAGTAGCGATACAGACGCCCCATTAAAGGCTGAGCACTCAGCAAATTATTTCTGTGCTTTGAGCAGCTATGTGTCTCTGTAGTAATGCTGCCACCCTCTACGAAAGGAAGCTTCTCTGACCTGAGCTGAATTCTAGAGAAACTTTTACTTTTTTTTTAAGTTATTTATTTATATTTTATGTACAAGTGCACTGCATGTACACGTGCAAGCCAGAAGAGAGTGCCAGATCTCATTACAGATGGTTGTGAGCCACCATGTGGGAGCTGGGAATCAAACTCAGGTCCTCTGGAAGAGCAGCCAGTGCTCTTAACCATTAAGCCATCTCTCCAGTCCCCCAAAACATTTACTTTTTACAAGGCCAGACAAAGGTTGATATGCTCGGATGAGAGGGAGATCCCTGGCAAGAAATCCCATGTTTTGGGGCTCCTTTTCTAAATGCCTAAGTGCCATCAAAAGCTACCCATTCATACTTTCCATTGTTTTAACCTTTATTTTTTTTCTTCTAAATACATGTAGGTATATGCCTGCATGTGGGTATATGAGCGTTAGTGTAGGTGCTAGCAGAGTCCAGAGATACTGGATCCCTGGAGCCGGATTTAGCGCTTTGAAGCCACCATCTGTCATGGTGCTGGGCACTGAACCCAGGTCCTCTGGGAGCAGTGAGTGCTCCCGTCTGCTCAGCTACTTCTCCAGCCCCATCATTTTTATTTTTGAAAAGCCAACCAACTGTGCTATTCTCTCCAGAATTACCAGGGTTCATCATCATTGATAACCTCCTTTCCTCAACAAAACATTCCTTTCAGAGGTGTTTTGGCTGGTTTTTATTTGGGGGGGGGTATAGTTTTTCATATAATATATCATATTCATATATCATATTTTTCCCTTCCCAACTCCTAGATCCTCCCCACCTCCCTACCAACTTCATGTTCTCTCTCTCCAAAACAAACAAAAACCAAAGAAAAAAAATCAAAACAAATTAAAACAACAAAACACACAAAAATATCATGGAGTCCTCTAGTTTATTAGGGTCACGCTATGCAGCTGGTTTAGAACCAGCTGTGTACCCCAGGCTGGCCTTGAATGTTCAAGCCTCTCTCCTCTGCATTCCCAGTGCTGGGATTACAGGCCACCAAGGCCACCTGGGTTAATTTCAGAAACCTTTTCCCTGCCAAATATGAATTTAATTTCTCTTCTTTTTATGTCCTTCCATCTTCTAGGACTTCTTGTAACTAGGATTTTCTGTATTTTTAATCAAGTCTATTTCACAGATTTGCTTTTTAAAATTAATTATAACAGACTTGTTTTTTAAATGTTTTATATTTTAACAACACTGACTATCTATTTTTGCTCATATTTTCACATGGTCACACTTAAGGAACACTGATCTGTGCTAATCAAACGGGAAGCTGCCCCACTGTCACACAGACTTTTCTATATCTTAAGTAAGGCAAGAGCTTGTGACTCTGGAAAGTCAGGGGTTCCAGACTGCAGCATTACTGGCACACAGGTGGTCTGCACTCTCTGGCTCTTCTTCTCTGTGTCAACCACTAAGGTAAATGCTCTAGCTTCTTCCAACTGCTATCACCAACTGCTTACGAAATGCCAACAAGCACAGTGCATCCGAATGCTAATGCTGTCTTCCTAGATTCTCCAACAAGCACAGTGCATCCGAATGCTAACGCTGTCTTCCTAGATTCTCCAACAAGCACAGTGCATCCAAATGCTAACGCTGTCTTCCTAGAGTCTCCAACAAGCACAGTGCATCCGAATGCTAACGCTGTCTTCCTAGATTCTCCAGCACTGCTTTCACAAAGTGAACAACAGAAAGAGCAGTCAGAACACATGCACACTCTCTTAAGGTGAACGTCTTCATAAACTTTCCTCAGCCTCACAGACAGCTGAACACTTTCAGAAAGAAAGATAAAATCTCATGGTATGATGTTCAATAAATATTTAGCAGAGAATCTGGTCAGAAATCTGCAATTCCTCTAGGCTGAGATATCTAGCCTGTAGTGATATTTCAGACCTTGGCTTGATTGCACATTTGTGTACCCATCTTTACCATTACTGCTATGGTTTGGCTAAGAATGGGCTCCGCAGACTCAAGTGTCTGAATGTCTGGCCCAAAGGGAGTAGCACTATTAGGAGGTGTGGCCTTGTTGAAGAAAATCTCACTGTGGAGGTGGGCTTTGAGGTCTCACATACACTCACTGTGACACTCTCTCCCCGCTACATGTGGATCAAGACATAGAACTCTCAGCTTCTTCTGCAGCACCATGTCTGCCTGCATGCCACCTGCTATGACGACAATGGAGTAAACCTGCGAAACTGTAAGCCAGTCCCAATTAAATATTTTCCTTTATGAGTTCCTGTGGTCATGGTGTCTCTTCATGTAATAGACACCCTAAGATAGTTATAAAACAATGAGAAGCTTAAAACAAATGAAAAAATTTCAGATATCAGGGTATACAACACTCAATACTACTGAGTGTAATTCAAATTAAATTACAGTATGTCATTATGACCTTAAATTCAATGTTCAGAAAATTCCACTTAAATATTAGACCAAGGATGGCTCAGCTTGCCTTTAGCACACACAAAGTCCTGGGTTCAATCACCAGCAGCAAAATGACTAAGAATAAATGTTTTTAAATTATTATTTTTGTTTTAAAGGGACAGTTTTGCTACATTGTTTAGGGTGATCCCAAACTCCTGAATTCAAGCAAATCTCCTCACTCAGCTTCCTGTGTAGTCAGACTACAGGCTCACTCCAGAGTCTAACCATAAACATATATTAAAACCCTGTCTCAAAACAAAACAACAGCTATAACGACAAAACAATAGCTAGGCGGTGGGACTGAAGAGATGGCTGGTCCAGTGATTAAGAACATGTGCTGTTTCTGCAGAGGACCTGAGTGCAGCTCCCAGCACTGGCATGGCAGCTTACAACAGGGTCTCGGCACTTGTCTGACCTCCACTGGCACCAAAACACATGCAGTGCACACTCATACACGCAGGCAGAACACTCTGCATAAAAACAGCGAATCTTTAAAGTCAGCACTGTTTTAAAAGGCACAGGTCCAAAGATGACTAAAATAGGAGCCTGAGAGATGGCTCAGTGGTTAAGAGCACTGACTGCTCTTTCAGAGGACCTGGGTTCAATTCCCAGCACTGACATGGCAACTCCAGGATCCAACATCCTCACACAGACATATATACAGGCAAACACCAATAAAATAAAAATAAATTTTTAAAAAGATGAATAAAAGCAAATATTGCCTTCCAAACAAAGAATTCCAAAAATACAAGCCAGTGTAATAGCATTACAGGTGCTATGCAGCCCAGCAGTGGGCTCTGTGCACTAGAATAGCTGTACCTGCCAGGAAGGTGTCCACCGGAGCAGTAACAGCAAGACTGTTGTGAAGTAACCGACCACTTTTCTGACAGGCCCTGATGCCCTCATCCACATTCCTGGTAGTGTAAATCTACATAATACCCACAGCTGGAGGTGGAGTTGGGTGGGGGTAGGGACATGTCATGTGATTACTGTTGTTGTCCATCTGTCTTATAACTGCTCAAGTCTGTACCCATGCGGTAGAGCTGCAGCCTCAGCTGTGGCCGATTGCTAATAATGAGAGACTTATAACTGGCCAAAATGCTAAGAGTAAGCTGACTGTTGAGTGGTCAGCCCTCAGCACAACATCTCCAGAACCCTTTCCAAAGCTCAGGAAACACGGTGGAAGGAGGCAGCAGAAACAGGGATGGTGTGCTAAAACACTGTTTTCTGCACATGACATGGCGGTGGGAAAATATTATTTTAAGGTGTGTTACTTTTGTTTATGCTCTGGAGCATCTGTTTAATGGTGCAAAGATCTGTTTAATTAAATAAAAGTCACCTGTGGTCA